CCTCCGGCGCTTTTGCTGAAGTCGATGCAGCGCTCACTTGAAAACGAGCGGGTCTCTGAAAGACCGTAGGCCTTGCTTGTTCAGAGAATTACATTCAGGAATTCGAGCATCCGGGAAATCGGCCCGAGCCGTAAGAGTCGTACGACCATCAATCGCTTGACGAGCGGTTTGACGAAGTAAGCGACTTGTTGTGTGGCCGTCCGTCGAGGCAGGGAGGTTTGTGCGAAGAGAATCAAGTGAATCTTAATCGAAATACGCTGACGACTGGTCTTCCACTGACTTTGTTTGATGCATGGCTGACTGATAGCGTGTGGCTTCGTCGGCTCGCGGTTAGTCGCTCCTTAACAGTTCCACGTAGAGACACAATCGCGGGTCACGGGGTGCGCCTATTCCCACGAAATCGGTCTCCCACGATCGTCGCATGGATCTTTCATCGGGGCCGGCTCTGTCAGATTGAGCAGAAAATCGCCGCATACTGCAAACAGCTGGTCAGACATCTAATGAGATCGTACGCGATAATCGCACCGAAGGAAGAACAGAAACAATGACCCGGGCTCACCGCCAGGTTTTGAGGATATTCCTCGAGTGTTGAACGCCGCAGTACATCGCTTTGATGTTTTCGCGTCGTTTCGCGCCACATGCTGGAAGCAAAAGGGAGATCGGGGCAATACGGGGCTTTGTGGCCACGTCGTTGTTTTTTCAAATTTTCACGCAAACCCATTGAATGTCCCGACGTTGCCGAGGTCGCTAGCTCGGATGGGTGGGAGAATCGGATGAGCCGATTGGACGGAAGAAAAGTCGGTCGGGCGGTCCGTCAGTTCGGGAATGTTTGTTACTGGCGTAGAAGCCGACAAGCAACTGTTGCCGCCAAGTTTAGAGATCTTTTGATTTTTCGAAGCGCCTCTGAAGAGTATTTGTTCTGTCTGATGCCTCGAACCGACTTGCTTTCATCATCTCACAAGGGTGAGCCTTTGTGTTTGCGTCGGCTCGAGTTTTAGTTTGTGAAAGCGTTGGCGCAGAACCCGGCACTCGTAGCCTGTCTGTGAGAGTTGTTCGGCGTCTTTCATTCTTTGTCACCAGCAACTTCCCCAGCCAATTCCCAAACTTTATGACAAACTCTTTCGTCGTCAGCCTTGCTGCGCGGCTCTCTGTCGTCTCGCTGATGGTCCAATAAATGTTTAATTGCACCAACCCTCTGCCGACCCGAACCGAAGAGTTGACGGCTTATTTTTTCGTTGCGCGGTGTTGATTTCTTCAAAGATACGAAACTTACCCGTCCGAATTTCCGCCCCCGGGTAGCTTCCTCCGTCCGGGATGATGCCGCCAGATCTCATCCACTCCCACGAAAGGAATGATCTGAAAGTGGACGCACTGATTCAAGAACGACTCCCAAATAGACTCGGGAGAAACACCGACGTCTGCTGTTCCGGACCACGGCCTGGGAAACCGGTGGCCGCCCTCACAACATAGACGAGGTTCGAGATTCGATGAAATTCTCGATGGGAAATATGAGGGTAGCTATGTGGCCGCGGGGTAAAATGCCGCCAGCCACTGGAAAAATGATTCTTAATTCGATCGCTCGAAGGCCGAAGCCGAACCGGACCGATGGCGACCGCCACAATCCCCTTCACAAGCCACTTTCGTCGTTCCAGTGAGAACCAGCGGTGTTTCCACCACCCATCGACCGGAGGACGTCATTTGGTTTCTGGTTCGTTCGCTGTGTTGCCGACAAGGCCGTCTGGCTGTCGGACGGTCAGGGGGGCGAACGAGCAGCCGGCCCGCGAGGGACAGGACAAGTGACCGAGAAAAGTTTCTCGACGACTGCGGCGGCGGAAACCCCGCGAAATCGATAAGGTGAGCAGCTCACTCCGCCACTCCGTGAGGAGAGAGCGAGCCGGCTCCCGATGCGATGTCGTTGACGTTCCGGTCGGAGACCAGAATTTGTCTTCGGTTTTTTTTCCTGCCGCCCCAGCCTCGAATTGCTCCGCTGTCCGGCCTCTGGTCGCTCGAGTAGCGGACCGTCTGGAAATCTACTCGAAGTTCCCAGATCCAGATATCCAACGTAAATGCTGACGGTTGCTTCCGAGACCTCGGGTGGACGTGAGCATAGGCCAGGTCGTCAACGGTGACAAAGTCATTATAGGTGTGAACTCAGAATCCGAGATCGATCCACCATCCCTTGTAGCGCTGCGACACAGAGCACGGGAATTATTTCGCCCGTGCAGCTCCCTCCAGGGAGCGAGCATCGATTGGCTCGCTCGAAGTGTAATTGCTGTTGTGCGCGATTTCCGCTTGAGAAAACCTCTCAGCCTAATCAGTGACTATATATTTCTCGGCTGCTCCCGGATATACCATATTGAAGGTCACGTCCAGACCTCGCTTCATCTATTGGAGAATCATTTGTTTCGACTGACATGGAAAGCTGTTCGCCCGCTCCGGCGAGTGTTCGTTACCGTCAGAGATCTCCTGGAAGCTCTGGGAAGGTTTTCCGGGTCGACGTCAAATGCACGCACAAGCTCGCCAACTCGACAGAGCTGCATGTCAGGAGGACCGAGGCGTTCGCTAAAACACGCAGTCAGGCGGCTACATCGTGTCGTCTTTGACAATCGCCAGCATTGATGGCGATCGCCTGCCGCCTGTCGAGGGCTCGCAGGACTGCGCAACTGCTCTGGAGGATTCCGTACGCTTCGCGAGCCGAAATGGGACGTGAGGGTTCCCTTCCCGTCGTGAGAGTCCACCGCTGGCATTTCCACTAGATTCCAGATGGGACGGGGTGCCGCATTGGACCTTCCTGTCGGTCCGTAGTCCCGTCGACGGAACACCCGAAATAAAGACTAGCGACCTCCGACTCCTTAGGCTCGCCTTGTTCACGACGATAAGCGACAGGCCCTGTAGGGGTCGGCGAGCGCCGAGAGCTCCGGAAGATTGTTGAGCGGCCAAAGCGGGAGCGACGCTGACATGGATTGCCACAAGACTCCGGGAGGGTGTTTCCAATGGCTACTCCCAGGCGCGTCAGAACTCCTCTCCCGGTGGTGAGCCATGGTTTGACGGCGGGTGTGAAATCGTATGACCATATGCTTCGAGTGAATCTCGCGCAGAGATGGCTCGAAGGGCTCTTGGCTTGAGGCTTACGCACTAACTGAGTGCCCGAGTGAATTCTCTCGATAACTAATGGGTTCAGTGGTCTCGAATGCGCCGCTAGTGGCTGTTCGTTCAAACAGGGCGACACTTCCCGGAAGCAGGAACCAGAGCGCGCCAAGCCTCAATTTATCGCTTCAATTAGACACTCAGCGGAACTGATCCGGGTGCCTGCTCTGCCCCTTCCCGACATGCTCGAACTTCTTCAGACGCACTGAAGTCGACGATGCTCGAGCGACAATTAGCTTGACCGGCGTTTCCGTTCCTGTCGACGTCATGGATGAAGGATCGATCGATCGATTCGAGTTTGGATCTGATGCTTCATCTGCTTACCAAAGCCGACTGATCAATCGAACTCTCAGCGCGGGGTCCGCACGCAGCGGCATCCTCCACGGCCCAGGTTATCGATGGGATACTGATGACTGCCCTCATCGACACCGATAGGCTTAGCATCTACAGCGAGATGAAAGGATCCCGCTTGCGACGATCCGAGGGAGGAGTCATTAGGAGGTCTTCCGACACCCCAGATCCGGAAACGACTGCCTCGCTCGGTGACGCTTGCGGACCCTATGACGAGAACCTGTCGCTTAAGTGATGTAAAGCTTGTCCGATTCCCGGCAGTCCGTCAATCGTTCGGCCGGTTTTTCCGACGTTCCCTGTTTAGGGCATACGGGGAATAGTCCTGTATCATTTGTGGCGAAAAAAGGATCGATTTTCGCCCGTAGCTGCCGAAGGGGACCACGGGCCCCGGAGCTCCGGTTATACGAGCCTCCATCATTGACAAAGACCTTCTTCAGTCGTTGCGGCGAGGTTCCGCTCCGGGGACTGCTTGCGCGGATGATAACTGCTTGAATCGTCGGATGCACACTTGTTGTTCCCTCGAATCGAATTCAAGCAATTTGTCTGCTCTTTGTTTGCCCCCTGCTCCAAATGCAGTCGCGTGTCGAGCATTTTGCAGACGGTTGCGACCGCTCGGATCTTTGTTCGCGAGGAACCGCCTTCATAGGATCGCATGTTCCCTCTGCCTCATGTTCTCTCACAATGGGAATGTTCTGAGCTTCGTAGGGGCGGTCGATGCGAGAGTCGGGGAAGTACCCTGCAATTCTCTCGCACAATGCTTTGCAATGATCTTGCGTCGCGTCGGGTCAAACCACCCCGCGGACTCGTTTACGCCTTGTAAGACATGAGCGTGGAATCCTCTAGAACTTCTGCGTGTCCGGCGGGTGTTTCGCGTGTTTCTGAAAACTGACCGGGTCTCCCTGACGACGGGTCAGGCGAGCCCATCGCCGAAGCTCAATGCTGCACTCGCAATTTTCCCCATCGATGTCGGGCGATTAGTGGGCGGCGTTTCGGGCGGTCAGAAAGGTTGTACCTACGAAAGACGGGCGGCTTCACAGAGTTGACGGAACCGCGAGTGATTCATCAAAACACACATCCGAGCCCCCTGATTCGGAGAATTTCGTCTGCGCGTCGGTTGGATGAACCGTATTGTAAATCGGAGTGCGCAAAACTCGAGTGGCACTACCTTTTCATCTGTTCGTCCGACGCGTCTCACTCAGCGCCGGCCGCACACCGGATCGCTACCTTGGCAGCGTCCTCGGTTGCGTCCGGGACGAATGGAACAGCATCGAGACATCGAGGAGTTCCTGCTGGACTTTGATGACGCAGCAGAGGGTCGTGTACTTCGTCGAAGGTTCATCGCGAGCAGGTCGGGACGAAGTCATCAGTCCGAGCTCAAGAAGAGTCCGACCGACTCCGGTGTCGCAGGTATAGAGTGTCGCGCCTCCGGATCCGAGAAGAAACAGCTCCCGCGCGAATTTCGGCGAGCTCTCGAGTTTACGCAAGGAGTACAATCGTATCAGACGAAACAGGGGGCTATTTTTCTTTATTCAACAATACGAGATTTCAAGTTCGAAGTAGTTTCCAACAACGTGCGTTCAATTCACAACGCGTTCTCCAAAATAGGCATAATTCTATCTAGGGATAAAGCTACTAAGGTATATACAATGTCTGGAAGCGTGACCCGCCGCAACCTAGATATCACTTTAGCACCTAGATTCCAATTGCACTAAAGCCAGCAGTACAAAAGAACCTCCGTTTCTACAGGCTGGGATAGCCGATCCCCGAAGGGTAATACGGGAATAAGGGACTCGCGACGTGTGTCGGTCCATGAGCCACCCAGGGACGGAAACTATGCGAGTGCATGTGGAGCAGATCCCTCCAAACGGAATTCGATGCTGGCCAATACCGAGGGTCATATGGCATCCGGAGCTGCAAGTCCAATTGCATCGGTGTCATCTGAGGGAGGGAGGGATGTGGGACAGGCACGAGCTGCAGATCGCCTTTGGAGCTTGCCGTCTGGATAGCCGTGTCGGGCGATGAAGAACACGGGGTTTCCGGACTCGAGGAGGCCGCGTCTTCCCGCACCGATTTCGTTTCCGTCGAATCTTGATCCTCGTTCATACCTGCGTCGTCGGCACTCCGCTTGGTCGTTTGCCGCCGGTCGTCGTCTCGGAAACCTTTGGCGAACGGGTTGTACTTAATTTTAAGGTTCGTTACCTCCTCGTTCTGGTAGGCGGTGACCGCCATGAAGCTCGTCTCCGGAAAAATGAACGTCGTGAAGTTCCGCGCATCCAATCGAGCGATGTCACTGCCGAGGAAGACGTGGAGGCGAGGCGTATACCGGTGCATCGAGTTCAGCACCATGTGGGTGTCTGTCGAGGCGGAGCTGTTGGTCAGCTTCAGCTTAGGAAAGGCCACGGTCGTCGACAGCCACTTCGCTCCGAGAGCGGGGGAATCCGGGTGGCAATACAGGTTGAGCTTGTGCGCCGGTGCGTCTGTTTTGTACGCCGGCACCCAGTGCTTGCCCATGTACTTGTATCGGTATTCATCCGTGGGCACGATGTCTATCAGTACGAAATAGTACTGATTGGCCTCCAGGCCTGTTATTTTGAACTTCAGGTCTGGGAACATCCGTCGGCCGGACTTGGTAAGAATCATCTCCGTGCCATTTTTATGGAACTCGTACCAGAGATCGCGATTCTCCAGGTCCACCATCACGTCTACCATTCGAGGATCGTTGTTGGTGATTTGCACCTTCGGACGACATCTTGGGGCATCGCGCGGAGGATATTCCCCGCTCTCAACGATCATCTCGGGAGAATTCCCCTGGGATCCTATTTTGCCGGTTCCAAGGGGCAAATCGGGATTCACAAAAGTTTCTGCACCGAATCGTCACTCTCCACTCGGAGCGGCGCGAAGCTGACTCACTGATACGGAACAAACTAGAGTCCGGTCGGAATTCCTCTTCTTAAGTACGTCGAAGCTTCCCTTTCCGAGGGTCAACATTGTTTACAACAGAAAGTCGGCATGTTTGTACTCCTCAAAAGCTCATCTCACCCTCGACTCAGTTAGATCGTCGCCGCCACTGGGATCCTCTCCAGTGGCACTCGCCTCGCGGAGCAACCTCAACAACCCTACGATGACTCAAGCTGCAACACTCCGACGATCGTCGCATTCGATGACGCTGAGACCATTTATCTGCTCGTTAGGAATGACATCTATCAGACGGGACGGAAGGTCGTTTCTGAATTCGTATAAAGCGAACCCGATCCCAACATGGACGGAACGAGCATCACACGCCCCCGCGTATGTACCTATCTCACCGCTCCGGAGCGGGTAGTCCCAAAACTCATGTTTCCGGGCGGGGTGCTGCTGCACTTCCGAACATTCGCGCGGGGTGCCGTCACGAAATTCGGAATCGAAAATCCTGGGCCGGGAACGCCTCGACGGAGCTACCGGCAGGCGGTTCATGGAACGCTAGGCGTCCCCCGAGAGACGACAAGTTTTCCCACGTTCTTGGTCCTGGTCTGGAGCTTTACGCGTGCTGGAAAATCGCGCGGCCCACGACAGGGGCACAAGATGAGGTGTGGGATGGATTCAATCCACTACACTGGGGGAAAAATTGGGCACTCCATCCTAGTTCCTTGGAAGCTCGACGCCGATGCATCCGAATTGTGGACTGCTCTTGCCCGACGGGGGCAAGCTGGGCTGGCGGTACCACTGTTCGTCGGTCGCGGGCACTCCATATTGCTCCATGATCCCAGAGGTGGCAGAACATTCCATCCGCGGATCGCTGTGGGCGCAAGATTTTCCCATTTTCCGGAGAATTCGAGTCACTTAGTAAGCTCAGTACATGATAGAGTGTAGTTTTCGGATCTCTCGGAAAGCTTCGAGAAGTCGTCGATAGAGGGAAAAGACGTCGGCATGGCCATAAACTAATCGAACACATCACCGACTACTGCTTTCAAGTGGGTTTGGATTCCGTATGCAGAGCGGTCTCTGTTTTGGGGCAATAAAATCAGCTCTGAGGATCTCCTGTTCATTATTGGGTTGCTGTCGGCGAGTTCTGATCGAGAGTTCCCGTGGCCCACACGGCTAACCGGCCTACGGGCAGCCTCGCACTAGTGAGGCGGGCGGGCGGGTAGGCGATCCACCGACCGCCTGTCTCACCAGCGCTCGGCTCACAAGCGACATACAGGAATCGAGAGCGACGCTTCGACGGCTTGCTTCATTCTGGGCGCTGGAGGAGCGCCGACCCGACTCACTCGCCAACTAACAAACTTGATAAAAACGTTTGATCAGCACCGAAGCACGTTTTTCCGATTCCTAGAGTTTTCGGGGGTGCATGGCTCACTCGAGAGCGCTCCGTACTCGCTCGGTGGCTCGTCGTCAGATGAAGTCGCTGGCTGGCACCACTGCGTCAAAAGTTTCATCTCGTTCTTCTATCGCCCCTCCCCACCCCCGCCCTCTCTCACGCGGCGCTCTGTTATGCTTTCTCTAAATTATTGAAAATAAACAAAATTTGACTGCGGCGTCTAGAACCCCCCCTCGTAGAGTGCAATCATGGGGTTCAATGTGTCGATCATCGACAGGGCTTCGCGGACGAATGAAGGTTTCGATGGCTATTCGATGCGGTGCGGCGGGGATGGATGGAGGTTGCCGAAACTTCAAATGACGCTTCCTTGCACAAACTATTTGGCTTTTTGAAACAGATGCGATTGTATTCTATACATTCTTCCGGAACAACTTGTATTCTGAAATTCTTAAAGTTATTCTTCATGCGCCTGCCCATGGAATATCCGAGCCCGTAGATTTGACTCTTAGGAGATGAGCCTTTCTCTGAAGCTCTGAGGGAAAGCAACAAAGCGACGGTGTCTCTCGGGCGAGGTGTATCAATCGGTGAAATGACTATCATCTAGACGATTCGGAGCGAATCCAAGCCCAGGATCAGCGGACCGGGTTCCTTTGACGCAAGGGAATCCCGTTCCTCCAAGAGTCGATACCCTGTTTGCGGTAATGCCAACGGAGAACTCTCACTGGTATCCTCGGGCTGAAGTCCAATTCGCCTCCGCGGAGAATGCTTAGCAACCCATTGAGAATGCTTCGGGAATCTTTTGAAAACGCGATCATGCACGCACTGCAGTCGGATCATTACCGTTCTGTTTACGTTTTCCCGCTCCTCGTTCCCTAAGTTTGTCTTAACGCGTGGCTTGCTGAGGATTCTCAGACCTGGCTTGAGATCTTCCCGAGCTCACGGATGGAAAACACACGAACTAAGGGTTTCCGTTTACAATAATTACCTATTCCCGAAGTTTCTGAGGACGTTTCATGTTGGGGTGAGAAGGCGGCCCCTGCGCGTGCAGTCTGAAGTTACAAGTCTGTCTAACCCTGATCCGCTCTCTGATCTGGGGAAAGGGTGCAGAAGCTCAGCACCAGAGCCGTAGACAACAGAATGGTAGATCGTGTGGATTGAGAATTAACCGAATGAAATTTTTTTTGTCACACGCTGCGCAGGGGCAAGCTGACCCGTTCCGTGCTGAGACGGCGCCTGCATATCTATCGGCGTTCATCCCAACTGAACCGCCCCCGCCGTTAGCGGAGGACGTATACTATGGGGTGCCACCCTTAACAAATACATACGCATGGGTTAGTGTGTCTTCTAACTCGAGAGCTTGTTTTTTCCACCCTTCGAGTAATTCATCCCCAACGTTTGGTTCTACAAATTCCATCATTTGACACGCCAACTCCTCCGAGCCACCCGAGCCGAGATTGCATGGCAGAGGTGGAGCGTCAGCCCGATACGCGGTCACGAAATCACATCCGTCACACAATTCCGCCGTATATCAGTCTAGCACTCGGCCAGCCGAGCGGCTCAGAAACGCCGAGCAGAATAGGGCGGATGAAGCGTTTGCTCTCTCGCTTTCGTAGGCCCGGTATCTCGCCCGCGCGCTTGCGAGATGATAATGCAGTAGAATCGTCGCAAAGGTCCAAACGACAGCGCGCAGGCGTACTTCCCACAAATCCTCGGAGCCTAGCAGCAGCAAAATCCAGAAAGCGTTCCTGCGAGACAGCAGCTCGTAACAAAGGACCTTCTCCTCTGACCTTAGGGTTAAAATATTATGCTCCCATTGCAGGGCATTTACTGAGAGAAGGCTTAAACTCGCTAAGATTTGATCATACATCAGACTTTCTCCGTCGACTCGCTCCCAGCCGCTCCTGGTGTTCCTTTTTAGAAGCCATCCGAGCCACTCTTGGAAGCCAGCCATGTTTTTTTCTCCCCTCCACGGAGGAGCCTGCTACGTCCGAGAGAGCAGGAGAAGACGGGAAGCCACGATTCCCGCTACGACATCGGCCTTCCTGGCTCGCTTCTTTTCCCTTAAATGGCGAACTATTCTTCTCTCGGGGCCTCGCGTTCTCGTTGGAGTAACTGACCGACGAACCGACTGACAGCCATATCTCAAATTTCCGAAATGGTCCGGAAGAGATTTAAGGACTACTCCTTCCTAGCGTAGACAGACATGAATGTGTACGCGCTTCGAGCTCTATCTAGAACTGCGGCCTGGGAACAGAGATCGGCCCAGAGCGCGCGATAATCAAAGTGCGCCGAGACGATGCCTGCATCCGAAGTACTCGGCCGTAATCTCTGTGCCGGTGCGGCGGTGGCGACCCGAGACAGTCGGGCAGAGTGGTTCGATGAGATTTGTCATCGTCATGGGAGAGCAACGTTTCATCAGCGGTGCACACGCATACCAACATCACCACGAACATCCGAGACAGACGGGATCGCGACTTGCAGGTCTCGATACACCGAGAGCCGCCAAACAGATGCGCATCTCCCCAAACGTTTTGTAGCCCGGTGTTGTTTCATCAACACTTTGAGTATCCACCGATGCAGATCGAGAAGGGAACTCGAGATTGAAAGACTCTGCGGACCGAAAAAGGAACAAGCGAGCGCACACACCAACCAACGCGAGAACAAACGAAAGACCGACCAACCAACTAGTTTTACAGCGGGTGAGAACAGTCGGAATTGGCGGGTGGCTGAAAGAGATCCGAGAAGGGATATCTCAGCCGTGATTAGGTGATGAATGGAAGAGAGACGCGCTGGAATAAAACGGAGCCGTTGCTTTCTCATCCAAGCACCTTGCCGCTCTCTTCTCGATTTTTCCTTGCTCCTATTGGCCCCTCGTCGAAGGGAGACCTTTGCCGCCAGCGACGGCAGCGTTCGACGCCTCAATTTATCTCCACAACTTTTTAAATGTCGTCTTTCTTCTGCTCCCTCCGCCGGAGTCGACCTCCCTCCGGATGCGACCGCCAGGCAAAAGTCTTTTCCCGGGATAGACGAGAGGAAAAAGTTTTGCCAATTGGCCTCCTCTTTCGCAAGGCGAGTTGCTGAACGGTCGGATTACGCAACGATCGAGACGAGGAACTTTATTTTTGAAATTTCCTAGTTTCTTCTCTCTCGACGTAAGGAACGTCGTGCGGAATCAGGCTTCAACACGCGCCGTTCGACGGAAGGACGGGAGACTCCGCAAGGAAGCCCGACGATGGCATTCCGATAGAGAATGAAATATGCAATACACAGAGGAGCTGATGGAGCTCTAGTCCTATGTTTGGACGAACTCGAATATTTGAGTTGCTGTAAAAGTGCGTCGGCGATTCCTCTTTGAGGGACAACGCCTCAGGTCCGGTTTGCAACGAAACAATGCAGGTGGTTGAGGAATCAACAACCGGACCCGAAAAAGCGGCAGCAAGGGACCCTTAATGAGTGGGGAAAACCTCTGAATTCGTGAGCCGAATTATTCAAAGCAGATAAAGGCTCACAGACTGAGCCTTCATAAAAGCAGTCCACTTTAGAGGTGAGGAAGGGTCTCTCGCAAGCTCCAACTCGCCTCGTCGTCTTCACAAGTATTATTCGACAAAGGTCCGCGTGGGACCTTTCGCCATTCACTCGAACCAGCCCGTAATAACGACAGAGCCGCTCGTCATCCCAAGTTCCCCCTAGGGTCCGTTGGCCCGTCATCGATGATCACATTTATCAGCAGTTCCATGCAAATCGGCCCCCTTTCCGCTTCACGACCGGGAACGACGATGAGCTGGTGACAATGAGAGTAATTCTAAAAATGTTGGATCAGTTGTATTCGGAAGGGACGGGAGAGGGCCGAGTAATTACAAATATCGTGCATGCATATCCCTCGGTTGAAATCGGGCCGCAAGAGGACACGCGAGCGAACACACTCCGATTCGCTTTTCTCCGGTATTTCGAGAGACTTGGACTTTAGTGGACACTCGGAATTTGTCGGAGCAGCTCGCTAGGATACTCGATATCGTTCAAGATGAATCCAAGCCGGATTCTTCCTGGACCACGATCACGCTCTCGCATACAGATCTTACAGATCACAATATCGCAGACGTTTTTCTTTTATAATTTCGCGCTCCTTTATCTATTGTCCCGCCTCTCACGATCCGCAGACCTCTGTTCCTCATCGAAGATAACTTCGTTGAACGATGATCACAGTGGCCGGTAGTAATAAATTCTCGCGAGCTTCCGATTCTCGATCCGAGCCTAACGGAAACGCCGTTGTGTTTTTCCAGATTTTGTCCAAGGATTCAGTGACAGTGGCGGTGGATGCCGTGGTATACTACCGCATCTCAAACGCCACCATTGCCGTCTCCAACGTGGAGGATTACGGACACTCGACGCGACTGTTGGCGGCCACTACACTGCGTAATGTCTTGGGTACCAAAAACCTGTCGGAAATCCTCTCTGAAAGAGAGTCGATCAGTCACGTGATGCAGGCAAGTTTAGACGAAGCAACCGACCCCTGGGGTGTCAAAGTGGAGCGAGTTGAGATGTAAGTACCCCGATCACTTTTTTCCTTAGTCATGGTCATGGCATATAGCATCATCTTTCACGAATGTCCACGATTCGGCGCACGTATGGAGAAACTTATTACAGGGGCGGAGTGGCCCTCCTCCCTCTGGCCTTTGGCAAGCGTCCACCGTGACTTCATACTATGCGCCGGCATTAATCATTACAGAAAAGACGTTCGTCTGCCAGTACAATTACAGAGGGCTATGGCGGCTGAAGCCGAAGCTGCCCGAGAGGCTAGAGCCAAGGTAAGGAATCTTTCTCACGAGCTCCGACAGCGGAGCTACCTGAACTCCGCCGATAGAGACTTGTATAGGAACATCGAGCGATGACACAAATAATTATCCCCGATCCCTGAAATCCTCTCCCAGCGAAATCTCGAATAACACCCGATCCGCACAGGTGATCGCCGCCGAGGGAGAGCAAAGAGCCTCCCGGAGCCTGAAGGAGGCCGCTGAGGTGATCGCGGACACACCGTCAGCGTTGCAACTGCGTTATCTGCAAACGTTGGCGTCGATTGCGGCAGAAAAGAACTCCACCATCGTGTTCCCCATACCAATGGAGCTGTTCTCCGGTTTTATTGCTCACGATCAGAGACACGAGACTCACCATCATGAAGGAGGTAGGTCCTGCGCCAAAGAGGAGCTCGACGACACCATCATCAGTTGAGAGGAGCCTTTCTACTAGACGGAGACGGTTAAAAACGACGGCTGAATCTGTCGGTGGGTGTTTGCGCGGTCAGGCGGACGGACGGCAGTGACTCCCGTCGTTTATCAGGACGGATGGTCGGCCGGTCGGTTCCATGATTGCCCTGTTCGCTAGCCCGACTTTGCATCCACCCTCCGCCCACGCATCTTCACACCACCATCATCATCGTGATCATCATCAACATCATCATCATCATCATTGTCATCATCATCACTCCCTCCGATTCATTCGCTCGATCACTCAGTCTGACGGAAACTCGCCCATCGTCCCGTCGAACCGTCCTCCGATGGGTCCGTCTCTATTTCACGCTCTCAAGGCTGAGCGTGCGCGTCTGACAGTTGGCTCTTTGGTTGCAGGGCCCAGCCCTCCTATGGCACCGCCGTTGGAGAAGAAGGAACCGATAGCATAGCAACAACTCACCCCGGTCAGACGACTGCTGTTCTGGGCTCCTCCGGGGGGACAACGCCGAATGTCTTTGGCAGCTCCCCCCTCAATCCCAACAGCCCCTAAGCAGTAAGCTCTCTTAAGCTCGGCCCGTACTGAGCTCTCGAGCATCATTGAAAATCCATCGATGCCTAACTCCCGAGCGAGTTCACTGCAACCATCGGATGGACGAAACGAGAACACGACGCTCTCCGTTCTCCGGGATCGGAGCGACAGCTACGGGCCACAGTCATTGTGACCACAGACTCGATAAGAGCCTCAGGTCTCTGACATCCGACCTGCTAGTGCCACGAATCTGAAAAATCTATGAAATTAAACGGAAATCTTGGGGAGAGAAGATCTTTGCAACACCGGATAAGAGCCAAGCAAAGAAGCAAACAGCTAAGCATGCATCGGAAACTGGGGAGAACAACAACATGGAAAAAGCATACCACGGCTCCGTTTGACCATCAGAAAGGAAGACGGATACGGAACAGTTCATCAGACGGAAATGTCGGAAAAATCGATTGTTGCATCGGATCCTTCAACTCTGTAACGGAAAGCTTCTCCCAACGAAGAGAAGCTTCCGCATCAAACTACTCGCGGACTATAGGAAGACGAACAGGCAGACAGGCAGGCAAGCCTCGCCATGTATTCCACATGGAGCTCTCCGCAGCTGCTGATTCTGAGTTTGATCGGCTTTGGTTTCGAATCGGACGAATTCCCGATATCGAGATGCTTAACTTCCCTGACTCTATGGACGACAGAAAGAAATATGCAAGCGATCCACGTATCCTCGTACGCACAGCGTTGGGCCACGCAGCCATTACTCCGAACGCTCCCGGAAACTTCAAATGAACGACAGACATTCCTACTTTCGTTATCCATTGGAAGTCGGACGTTATGGATACTCGGAGAATCATGGAATCATTGACTCTCTACCGTTCGGTTTCTTTCATGATCGACGACCTGAAACGCTGTTTCACGCCGTGTCGACCGATCGCCCCCCTCCCCACCGAAAATTCATCTCTATGATGTTGGTCGAAAGCTTAATCAATAGCTACTTTTGATCACCGGTCGATCGGTCGACAGGGCTTCTCAAGGATTCTCTAGCGAAAATTCGTAGAGAATCGACTTCTCTTGGTTTACGTTACTAGAGTGGATGGTGAGGGCCTGACGTGCTGCGAATGACTGACTGATTGATTGATTCTGATAAGGGGTCTTCAGCGGAGACCGAGTCTTCGATTGTTTCCTCAAAACGGCAGCCGACGCAACAATTACCTCGAAGATAAGGCCAATTAAACCGCTCGGATAACTTATGTTCGTATTTACGCTACCCCAGCATCCGAAGCAAAGAGATGAGTCAAAGGAATGAATGCTAGGCGATGTGAACCGCAACTCCGGTAGACGATCTGGAGAAATTCTCCGAAAATCATGATCATCGAGCAATCGAAGTCTGATTGACAGAATTGATTGATTCATTGGCTTATTGATTGATAGAGTTCGATTGATTTGGGCGTCAATTCGCACGCAAGCGCAAGATTGAGTGAGCAAATGCTGAAACGCTAAGAATAAAAGTCGTGTCACATGTCTGAAGTGAGAGAGCAACAAGCAAGGAGCAAAAGAATGCAGTCGTCGATCGGGGAGGCGTTGTGTTGCTGTCTATAACGAGTGGACAGCCGACGTTTCTCTTCCGGTACGAAACGGTAACCATCCACAATCACCATATGTCAGCACCGATTTACTCAGCAGCAATGACAAGAGAAACACCACTCGGGTCGCGTACGAGCAGAAATATCTTCGCTCCATGACGACGACGGTGACAACAACAGCAGCGACATTGAGCAAGCTGTCAGCCAAGGAGGCTGGGAACATCGCGAACAGAAAACCAACCTCATTCTACCAGCAAACCTACCGAACAGTTGTACCACCAACACCATTAAGTATGAAAGAACAATTTGAAGAACGATGGAGAAGGAACGCTGCGTCCCGCGTCGCCATCCCGGCCTCTGGCGGCCACAGGGTCTTGGCTCTGCGGGACAGAGATCAGGATGTCCTTAAAAAGTAAGGTCACAACGATCTAGAATAGGAGACGACGATAAGTCACCAGGTAAAAACAAACCCCCACTTCTTCTTCATACTTGTAATACGATGATGCGAGTTTTTGGTGTGCGAATGTTCAAATGAGGGGATTTCGATTTTTTCCAATTTTCCAACAGAACAACACGAACAGATCAAACGTTCACCATCATCTATCAGGTCAATCCTGAAGCGAAGACATATGAATGATTGTTGTCAGATCGTCATAATGATTGCAACGAGCACAGCTGGAGAGCATTCGCCCCCACGATGTCTTGAAACGGCCTCTTCCCATCGAGGGTCACAGGGACAGAGGGCATTTTCTGCGTCGTGATGAACTCGTGATATTCAGCCCATAATTGATACCGAGCCCCGCAATGGGACTGCATGCTCCCCCAAATTCAAGGGGGCCCTGAAGGGTCACGCCGGCAAAGGGCCTGAGAGAGGAAGGGGGCAGCGATGATCTCATTCAGCTGACTCGAAATCCGAGATTGATTCATCGAGCGATTGAGCGATTGTTTAATCGGTGTCATGGTGACGGCGTTCACGGGTTATCCCGAGAGCGCGCGGCGATCATGTGCTCGTTCACTCGAGCATCACATGCATACAAACGGTCACGTCTCTAGATCGGATCGTTCATTCACTCCCTGAATCGGTCGCCGTACAGAACAACGATCACCACCATCAACACAGCAACAACCTGATTCTCGATAACACCGTTCTCATCGTTTCTTTCCGATGAGAATGTTTTTGGTAAAGATAAATCGAACGAAGCGAGTGTATTCGGAAAATTAAACTATTGTCAGCTCGGACAATAATGACACGGATAAGAAGCGTAAGAGATCTACACAATGAATATGACGACGAAGATGATGATACCCATATGGACGATAATGATGGGAAATAGTACTAATCAATGTTCCTTGTTGCCCGTGTGGAGTCTTGTGGGCTCCGCCCGTGTGTTTTGACTGAAAGATTTTAGATTTACGACATCATTGAGTGTTTCTGTAAATACACTTTTACTTTTGGAAACCAGCAAGAAACATTTGACAGAGAGAACAACTCCGACGACAACATCATCAACATCTATGACAGAGAAAACAACCATGTAACACAACAATGTGTCTCCTCCAACAACAACTCAACATGAGGTCTTTGAAGACTCATCTTGAAGTCATCAATAACTGATGCTATGATGACACTACAATACGAAACACTTCTGCTGATGTGCATAGGTTGTTAGCAGCAACGCAATGCAGACTTAGTATCGCTCCTCATATTCGAGAATTCAGTCGCCAATCAGATTTGATCGGGAGCGGCTGACCTAGAGGCCGTTTGAAACGCATCCGACGACGGTCGAGCGACCGAGCAGTTCAACAGGCTCAGAGATAAATCGTCAAAGCCGACACAGGGACGGTAAAGAAAGAAGAGGGCGTGTGGTAAATTCAGCCGTGCATATCAGTCCGATCGGATTTTTCAGCACCGCAGGCTGATCCCAACATTCTATGCATGAAGACGACCTCTCCGGGGATTTGCTTGACATCGCAAGTGTAGGCGTTGAGTGTGTGCGCCACCTTACACCCACGAGGCCGGAAGGGTCGCTCCTGCAACTTACCTTCGCTCGCCTCTCTCGTTCTCGTCGGCTAAAAAAAAACCTCACCACCATATGAGGGAATTCTAACCACCATCGTATGACGGCACTTCGCGCCCGACCCGAGAGTCGATTAAGCTCGCACGTTCACGGCAATCTCTCGGACACAAAGTTCCGACAAAGCAGAGAGGGATCTCGCAGAAACCACAACAAAGCGATCGGTGGCGGCAGCGCGGCGTCGAAAAGCTCTGAGGGATCTTGCGCTAAACACCGTCAAGATGCCGTCAAAGCTGAGGCGCATGCCACCAGAGCTAGCACAGCCAGAACTCCCGAGAAATTCTGTTTGGGGCGGAATCGCTTAGAAGGAGGGGTCAGTTGGCTTCCATTAATTACCATCCAAACAGAGCTTATCATGCTATCTTGAACACCGACAAGAGACTGAAGCATTCGTGCAAGCCGCAGGAATTATCAAATGGACCAGACAATGATGATATCAACCATCACGAAGAAGAAAAAATGTCAAAACCTAAAAGGGGAAATGTGGCGGGATACCACGAACAGGAAAAAAATCCTTCCATTCGACAAGCATCAGGAGAAAAATTGGCGAAATCAACCCGGCCAGCCACCACCTGATTTTCTACTGATACTCGGCGCGGGCAGAAAACGCTCGCGCCCCGACTGGAAAAGCGCCTAAGATCTCGGATGTTTTACGATGACCTGCAAATGGGGGACCCCGTATAATTTTTTCAGTGAGATCCAATAAGGAAGGAGAAAAATATGCCGACAAACTTCAAAACCGAAACCAACTTCAAAAGTGCATCAGTTCTGTTTTGTTATTAAGCCTCCGCCTCTGCCTACGCCGCTTGAGCAAGGAAATCTGACGAGAATTTGACAAAAAGCCACACGGGTTTGCTGTGTGCCAGCAAATTCACACGGAGACACTATTCGTCTCATGAACATGCGCCGAATGAGATATACGCTACAGCAACACCAGCAACATTGACGACAGGACAGTCTCAGGACAAAGAAGCTTTCACCGAAACAACGGACAAATGACAACGATTGAGCTCTCAAGAGCGTCGTTCGATTCGCCAAAATTGGTATTCAGGGTGAATTTTCGCTGTTGGACGGCAAAGTTCGCACCAGCAGCGGACATCAAAAGCCAAATCGGAAAATGATCTTGTATCATTAGGGTGAAAACGGAGGAGCGGCAGACATACCGGAAGCTGGTGGATAGGACGCCAAAACTAGATCAAAACATCAACAATGCAACAACAAGACCATCGTCGGTTAGGAGACTCACATGCCAACAGTTT